AGGGGTTCCTTGTTTGACTCTCAGGGTATGTTTCCTTTATTTCATCCGTTTTATTTAATTATTAGAACCTTAAGTTATTAGAAGCTTTGTATGCACTGCACTTCACTTATGATCAGTCTGACTTCTTTCAGAAGTCAGACTGATAGACCATTCTAATACAGATGGTATAAGAAAATACCATCTGTATTATTAAGAACATGAATTTCAGGGTTATTACTGGAGCAATGACACTTCAACTAACTCATCTGTACCAGTAGCAGGCACTTTTCATAGCGACTTCACAGCACTGACAAAAAAGGTATTATTAAACCATGTTGCATATTTTGTTGCAAAGTACGAAAAAGTGATGATATGTATCATCATTTATTGTGCATCAGATTTTAATTAATCAAAGCATGGTTTATTCATCAGTAATCATGAAGTTGTGACATGAAATGTAGAATTGAGTGTCACATTAAAAATGTATGTTTATAGGTATTTGTTTCAGTGCCTCTATATTCCAGACTGTAAGAAGACGTTCACCGAAAACGATCGTGAAGTTTACAACTATTTCACAGAACATGTTTCTCCCATAACAGGTCAATCCAGTCGTAAAGTTTTTATATCCATTTGAATAACATTACTTGGTACTTTTGGTTTTTATAGATATGGTTAGCATATTTGACTACAGTTCAAGCAACTTCAAGAGATCTCAGATAGCATATATACAGTAACACTCGTGGAGTTTCAGTGGCGTAACGTTGCCTGTTAGCGCCCCCTCGCTGAAAAAGCGCCCCACACCCTGTTGGCGCCTCCTCCCCTTTCGGAGCCCCTCCCTGAATTTGAACAAATTAGTTGATATTAGAGGATACACCATGGAAATAATAAGAACTATTTCAATATAACAGTTTCGGGAAAGAAAACAGCTAGGGTAGAAAACATCCGCTGTAAATCGGGGTTCGCAATGGGTTGTGTCAAAAAATATGTGCAGATTGGATTTTTTCACACAAAATTTGTGCAGTTATAATTGCTCATGTGCAGGCAACAAAGTTATTAGGTTAAGGTTTTTTCTACCCATGATCTTGTTGGCAAAATTGATTGGTTAATAATGTGTTACAGTACCCTAAGTGACCTTTTTCAATTGTTGTCATAATCGCCAAATAAATAAATATTGATGTCTCTTGACACCAATTTAGATACCAAATGAAACTCCTTGTTTGTATGTACAATACCTGTAAAACAAAATACTTTATTACACAATAACTTTAATTCCATATTAAACCAATTCCAAATAAACCACCACATTTAGGGTTGGATGGGTTTCTGCTAGTGGAAGTAAAGCCCTCGATTTGTAAAAAAATGGCCGCAGTAAATCAGGGTTTGCGATAAATTAGGGAGCAGATTTACTGTATTGAGTATTGAGAAGCGCTTTTGAGCTAAAATTATTATCTTGCAGTTTTAAAATTATGATATGCTTTAACAGGTGATTCGCGCTACCCCTCTTCGCGCTACCCTAACTCTTGGTATCATCAACTCAACTCTACATTCTACAACTACACTAATAACATTAGTTTCCCCTGTTGGGGCTATGAAGACACAATGTACTTCGACCATGAGGTAATATTTCAATTACCATTGTTCAATGTTCATGTACCCATTGATGTCAAGACGCTTTTTACTTTTAAAGTTCAACTAACCAATTTTCCAACCAAGTGACCAGGGGTTAAAGGGGCTGGCAACAAACTCAATAACTAAAAATCAACAGCTGCTAAGTTTAAAAGCTTCTCTTGGGTAGTAACGTGCTAATCGCTTTTCTCAGTTATATATTATACAATATTTTCTAACAACACCTTTTTTTCAGTACTCTATCATACTGGTTTACATATCCTTAATAATACCTGGGGTAGTCTTCCTATTCACTTTATTATGTTCATTTATTTGTGGATCAGACGATCAAAAGTAAGTGCTTGCAATTTTCATTTTTTAAAAGAATCATATCAGTCTTTGGTTAGTATATTTGACTACTATACAGGAATACATAGATGTTAATTCTGTTGGGGAGGTGAGGCATATTTTTTGACACGTGACAGTATTAAACCAATCAGCTTCCACCAATCAAACACCAGAATCACTGTCACGTACCAAAAAAATATGCTTCACCTCTAAATCTATATGAAATTTTGAAGCATTTCAATAAAATTTAGGGAAAATCTAAATTCAACATTATTTTGACAGATTATAGTCATTCTCTTACCAGGGACTTTGTGGGAGGATTGTTGATGTTGCCTATCCTCTTAACAGTCGGAATTGTAGCGTGTCTTTGGGAAATCATTTCAGAATGCTTACCCCGTGGATGGTTTGTTCATATTTAGATCCTTTTTAAACGAGATTGGAATTTTACATATCATTAACACACACCTTGTTATTGTGATTTTGTAAAATTTGAAATTCTATCCAAGTACTATTAAGCTCCCAACTTTTGGGGGATTGCGATAACTTTTGCGTAATCCATGTAACCGTTCAGTACTGATGTGGTGGACAGCTGTGGTAGTTGTCTGAAATCTGCCCTGACCTGCCAATGTTTAAAACCAAAAAGTGGAAATGACAACGATAATGACATTGAGATGACTGATGATGAAAGATCTTCAAGAAGAGGTAGCGTGGTCTCGTCAGGTACTGTAGTCCTCTCTGAAGGACATCTTAGAACTAGTCCTTACAACTCAACTAGGAGATCATCTCTTCAATTTACTGCACCGTCATCCCAACCTTCAGGAAGAGTCACCTTCGATGTTCCAGAATCTGGTACAACTCATTTTATCTCCTATTAAAATAGTTATAATTTTAGGTGAATTTTCTACAGTTAGGTAAATATTTAACCGTCCTTTTTTTGGTAAAATGTTAAAGGCTGCACGTCCCTGAAGTAAGGGGAACTTCGAATCAGCTGTATCTCATGTACTAATTTTACAGTTTAACTTACAATTACTATTCCCAGGACCGAGCTATGATGTGGGAGGTTCAGATAACCTACCCCCTCCACCCAGCTACGACGATGCAGTTGGATCCGCCGCTCCTATCGATTCTGCTCCTTCCTATGACGAAGTCGTTAACAGATCCTTCAAATAACACTCACAAAATTTGAGAGACATAAATAAATAAATAGGATATCATTATCATGCGAGTAACCCTTATACATTATGGGAGATTAAAATCTTCGAAAAATCTCTTTTATTCGATAACAAAAAATAGAGCTAGGACTTAATATATTGTACTTTTATCATTATTTTAAGATCAAGTTTTTGCAGTTTTTGTAGTTATGTTGTATTCGGATGAGTTTAAATGTATATTATTGTTATGTTCATTTTGATCTGTAAATACTATTACAGAAGTAGATCAAACTTTTAGATTCTTTTATTGTGTTTACATCAGTAGTTTTTGTATATTTCTAGTTTATTATTCATTAGTTGAGAAATTAAATCGTATTTTTTGTAACAATAATCTATTGTATTCGAGCTTTTCATCCAGAAGTGAAACAAATTCTTCATATATTATGGAGCCAGGTTGTAGACTGGCTACACCTGGTTAAAACATTATAATCAACAAAACATAATATGTAATATTATGACAATACCAAAAGTTCTTTTAATTAATACAGTTTCTACTACAGTATCTACTATCTAATTCTAAGTTTAATTCGCAAACTTAATTTTAAGTTTAGCTGGTAGTTTTAATGCAAATGGGATTTGTGATATCGATATTACAGTGTATTTAAATACATATAATTCATTCGATAATGTTGATCTATTTTGAGTTGTGAATGTCAAAAATTTGAGTTATTTAACAATTAGTGGAAATTCTAACATGAAATTCTAGTCGATTAGATCGATGTTTTTTATCTGCGGTCGGGTGATCATGATAATTACTTGTTCAATAGACCAATAGTGTTGATCTAACACCTTGGCCGTATATAATAATAGTGTGTTTTTTATGTCAATTTTATCGATTGTATACCGTCATAATATTACTTTTTAAGATGGTATAATGTTTCTTACCCCCAATTTCTATATCAGAATGTACGACGAACAGACACCTTCAGCGACTTCTACTTCACCTACACTCCGTACTCTAGCTGATATTGGTAAGCGATACTTTGAGTCGTACAACTCCCAAGTTAATCTTTTGACGGACATCGAGCCACTCATGCTACCTCCAGCACCAAAGCAGAAACATGTGGACAATTACACTGAAAAAGATCTCAAAACTAAAATAAGGAAAACCTATGATTCAAGTCGTGTTGACTACGAAGCAGAGTGTGATGTTTACCGAGCTCTTGGGATGTTTAATCAACAGATCACCGTACTACATAGCTTCAAGTATTCTAGTGACCAATGGAAGGCTTTTGTGGGTGATGAAGTACAAGCAAAAGAGGGGGAGCATGACTTTATAATAATTTTCCCGAACAATGTTGTGGTGTGTATCGAGGTTAAACGACCGAAATCTTATAAATCTGCACCCTGCAAGAAAGCATACCAGGCTGCAGCCAATCAACTGGAAAGATTTGGAGTATTCCTGAAAGGAATTTCAAACCAAAACCATGAAAAACCATGCTACTTGAAATTTTGTGCATTTCCACGTGTAGACGAAGAAGATCTTAAGAGTGAAAAAGATTTCGTTGAACGCAGCGACATTCCGATTTTGTGGAAGAAAGACTTACATAACTTGAGTAATATATTGGGCAGGTATGTAACAGACTTCGGTGAGAGGCAGCCTGAATCGGATATCGAAGTTCTACTGACTGGTATTTGGCTAAACAATTGCAGTGGATTGAAAGACGGTTTTATTGAATGTCAGCTAGTTGGCTACACGATAAATGACATCAATGAGAGATTGAAACGCCAAAAACTTTACCTCAATCAGAAAAATCGATCTGAAAATCTAGTGCCCGTACCCAAGACGTATAAACGTATTTTTGCCGACCACCTTGATGGCATACAGTATATTACTCAAGAACAAAGCAAGTTCATCGAATTACAAAAGGAGGATCCCATTATTTTTGAGAAACCTTATATTTTTGTGAATGGACCTGCGGGTTCTGGAAAGACTTTAATGATGTATGCAGATTAAAAG